TTTATGTTCAGGAATTCTGTGTAACTAATGTAACTATACAGCGAGAAAGAATACTGAATAGATATTGTAGGTAGAGAAGCCTGATTTTCTTGTGAGAGACAAAGTTTGGATCTGGATAATTTAGCGCTTAGACGAGAACAGTTTACTAAGAAACCTATAGAAAGAAGGATTCGTAGCTACTCAGATCTTGCGAAGAAAAAAAACCTTTTAGTATATATACATATTGTCAGTGGAGTGAGAGAAAATTGGGCGTATGACAGCACAGCTTTTGGTGGTAGTCAGTCATCAATAAGAGCTATCTTAATATCGTTAGGAGTAAGAAACAAGCCAGGATTACGTTGGAAGACTGTATGGAATTTTATAGGGCTTACTGGAACATGAAACATTAGGGAAAAGTCTCCAGGATTAAAGCAGGCAAGCGTAATGGTTAGTAGCTCTTATACTCGTCGATCACATAGAGAAATCTGGTACTCAAAGACTTCCAAGCCCGTGACTCGGGCTTATACAATTGCATAATTACTTACTGGGCAACAGAGAGGGGAAGGAAAATCCCAGCACAGGTCGCCATTATCCACAATTTAACAGGTAAATAAAAAATACGCAGTCTCCTTTAAGTTTCATGAAAAGCGAATATTTTTAATTTTGTCAGTTTTATTTTATTTATTTTTTCATTTAGGATGTGGGATATGTAATTATTTAATAATGTTATTAAATTTACCAATACAAGTGCCTTGTGTTTTCTTCTACTTAAAAATTACCTAATACTACTCAACATTTTTTACAAAAGGTTTTTAAACTTCAGAAACGTTTACTATTTTATTATTAGATTTACTCTAAACAACAACATAAGAACTACTATTGACATTGAACTATGAAATATGCTTATTTTTAAAAATATTTTGAAAATTTAAATTGAAAATTAGAATGTATTCAATAGGATCAATTGGCATAACGAAGCAGGTCAATTATATACAACTTCATCATTAATAATATGTTATAACTAGGGATGAACGGGTACCCGGTGATATTCGGCTCCGGTTGAAGTTAAAAACAGCCGAATCCGGGAAATTGAAAATGGCATCTAAGCCCTAATCTTTGTAGCAACTTACGCGGTACTCAAAGTTACAGTCAATAACTGGTTTAGTTAAAAAAACGTGTTCCGAGCAACAAAGACTGACCGCCCGCTGAAAGTTGGGGATTCAGAGAACAGTAGAGGTTAATAACAGGTATGGCTTGAGAAATGGATTTGTGGGGAAGGTGGGGTTTCTGAGAACAATAGAGGTTGGGGTTTGAGAAGTTGGGGTTAGGCATTAATCGGAATAATGATTCTAAAACATATCAACATTACTGTTTCTGCGCTTACTTTCACTGGCCTCACTTTCGGAAGTCAAATAAAGTTCGATTTCCCACAATGGCCAGGATAGCAAGGCGTTATCTCTTCGCACCTCCGACCAGTGTACACAGCGAAGGAGCTTTCAGCGCCGCTGCCAACATTATCACACACGAAAGGTCAAGGCTTTTACCCGAAATACTACTGTTCCTCAAGTACAATTCAAACAAATTCCAAAAATACAGGCATTCTGCAAACTGGTGCGCACATTTTTCTAAGTTAATTTTGAAAGTTGAAAATAAAACTGGACTGTTCAATTTGTGATTATTCGGATAAATGTAATAAACGTCACTTTTGTTTCTAATTTTTGTGTATGTCTTTTTTTTTGTGGGGGTGGGAGGGCGAGAGCAGAACCCGGCCCAGGCCGAAGATTAGTGGCCGGGTACCCGGACCCAGTATTCGGCCAAATTTTCCTACCCCTGCATCCCTAGTTATAACACAAAAAATATTACGGAGAGAAAGTGACATTAGAGGCATGAAAATTGTTTCATTAGTTTCAAATCATAAATTTGAAATAGATAAATGATGAAAATTCCAGTTTTTCCTCCTCTTTAGTTGGGAAAAAGATTGATATAACCCAGATCACTTTAATTGTTTATTTTTTAGCTTATGTCCGACCAGTAGAAGGAAACACTTGTCCTAATGGCCATACGTTGAGGGAGAATAAGTGCTGTAAGTTTTAAAATGTTTACTTTAAGCTTCATCATATCAGACCATTGTTTTTGACTTGTAAGTAAGAACATATAAAAAACTTAATCTCTATCGTTGGAAAATTATAAGTGCATGCATCACGTAAACACAAATATTGAAGTTTATAAAACTCTGTATTTGAGTACCTATTACTGAAATAAACTAAATTAATGCAAACCCTATTGTACTTAATGATCAGACATCTCAAAAAACACACGATAAATTTGGTTTGTTCTGAATTTCGCGCAAAGCTACTTGAAGTCTATCTGCGCTAGTCGTCTCTAATTTAGCAGTGATAGACAAAAGGGAAGGCAGCTAGTCAACACGCCCATCGTCAATTCTTGGGCTACTCTTTTACCAATGAATAGTGGGATTTACTGTCAAATAATAATGAAAGGGCAAGTGTGTTTGGTGACAAGGATTCGAATTCGCGACCAGCAAATAACGAGTCGAGCGCCCTAATCACCAGGTAATGTTAGGCTCACACGATGTAAGGCTTATCAAAAATACTTTCTGTAATACTATGAGTGAATATTTTACAGTGTTTTCCAGGATTTATGCCTCTCTCATATAATTGTTGATGCTAGTTCTAGAATCCTGGATTTCTACGAATTTTAATAGATATTCAGAGCTCTTTCGGGATTTCGATTATGAAGTAGTAAAAATAAAAGTAACATAAACTATCTATATGAACAGTATTAAAACACATATAAGATCGTAAGCTTTACAGTCTTGGCCAAAATGTTTGCATACTTTCTATATTGATGTTACTGTTGCGTATCTGCTTGTTTGATAATTTATGGAATAAATTCTTTCCGAGGAACTTCAGCGATACAAGTTCCTTCTTGATTAAACAAGTTTATTCTTTCTCGATACAAACTTTCAGTACACAGTAATTCCACAGCCACTACGTTTCTCATCACTTTAAACTTAATAACTTTTATAATACATGCTATAAGTCACAGTGATTCACAATCTCGATAACTTTGCTCTCTACGAGTGCAAAACACACACTTAACGGCTCACTAACACAAAACTTACTGTAGCTACTGTTCACTTTTCCATCCATTCATTCACACAGGATTTAACTGCCAGGCTTATATACTAACAAAGAGGCGTCTCTCGATCTCACTCGAGCTTCCCTGAAAATTAGAGGAACTCAGTCACGCATGCTCCCAGTCTCACGTGACTTCCGCTGTCGTAACATTACCTTCTACATGCATGGAGTAGTTATTTAGTAAATGCTCGAGTAGTAATAGAGAAGGTACAGGTAGTGGCCAAAAAAATGGAAATACCAATGTAAAGTCACTTAATAGGGTGTTGGGCAACCACATGTGATCAGTACTGCCTGTATGCACCATGGAATAGATTCTACTACAATCTGGAATTCTAAAGGAAGAATGCAACACCACTCTTTCATGAGAAAGTCAATCATCTCACGCCTAGTTGATGGAAGTGGAAAATGTTGTCTCAGACATCGTTCCAGAATATCCCACACATGCTTGATTGGGTTCAGATCTGATGTTTTAGAAGGCCATGACATATGAATAACATCAGTGTCATGCTCTTCAAACCACTGGGCGACTACTCGTGCTCTGTGGATAGGGGCATTGACATCTTGAAAGACACTCCTTTCTCTCCAGTACAGAAATGGGGTTCTAGATGATCACTCAGTATTTTTAAGTTTTGATTGGCAGCGACCTTCTAAGGGTATGAGTGCACCCAGACCATGCCAGGAAAATGTGCCCCATACCATTACGGAACTACCAGAACCCTTCACTGTTGGAACCAAGCACTCAAGGCTGTAGAGTTCTTTAGGTTGGTGCCACACGTGCACTCGTCCATTTGTGGAGAACATGGCAAAGGATAATTCATCTGACCATATCACATTTCTCCACTGCTCAGCAGTCCATATCATGTGCTCTTTGCACCACTGGATGCGCAACTATACATTGCCAGGTGTGATGAGTGGTTTGTGCACTGCAACCCGATTATGGTATCCCATTCTGTGGACCTCTCGGCGGACCATTTTTAATGCAACTGGCTGCTTTCAACCCAGCTTTTTCGTTATTTGATCTGTGGTTGCTCACCTGTTTTGCCTTGTAGTTTGAATTAATGCAAGGACAT